TTTATTCCCATTGGTCGCCTTGCAGGTCTACGGTGTGCTCAGCGGGCGCGCTTTCCTATGTGTGTTTATGGCGCTCCCCATCAAACATGGATTCTGGTGCTCGCGCATATCCCGGAGCTGCTGGGCCTGACGGCTGCTGCGCCCCTCGTCGTCACGAACTTCTTGTGGGTAAAGTTCGGGCCCCGCGTGGCTCCGGGGATCATGTGTCGGCTTTGCGCTCGAGATGGGCATCTCTTCCGAGCGGGATCGCACCTCTGGCAGCTCGGGGAGGCGATGCCCCCGGGGGCGTGGCGTGGCCCGCTGCCCTGCAGGCGTTTGTTCAGCCAGGCCGCCGTCGTGCTGCCGGGCGTCATGTTCCAGGCGCTGACGTGGCAGCGGGCAGCGACGCGGTGTGTCGGGCCGCCGACGCCCACCGCTCCCGCGCGCCCTCTTCGGCAGGGCCGACGCGACCGAGCGAGCTCGGCTCGGGCGACGCGGGGGGGCCCTTGACTTTCCAGGCTGTCCGCCGCTGGGCCGCGGCTACGGCCGAGGCGCCCGGCAGTCGCCGCCGCGCAGCTGGCGGCGGCCGTTCGCGATTGGAGCTCGCGCGGCAGATGTCGGTGTCGGCCGCGACTCTGAAGCTGCGCCGCAGTGCCGTGGGCGCCATTGCAGAGTGGCGTCGCGAGGAGGTTCGGCAAACCAACAGTCGTGCAGATGCTGATGTCATTATGGTGCAGTGGTTTACTTCGATGTCCCTTGATGGCGTGGGCCCGGGCGCGGGCCGCAACGGGTTGTTCGTTGGGATCCTACTTCGAGGCGACCGCTGTCAAGATGGTCGCCAGCTCCTCCCCCGGGCTCGTAAGAATCTCAAGGGCTCAAGGTCTGGGGGCGGGCCGATCCTGGGGCTGCGGGTCTGCCTTATCCGTTGACCTTCGTCTATGCCATTGCATTGGACATGTTGAATCGCGGCACGGCCCGCGTGGCGGGTTGCGTCGTCCAGCAGGCCGACCTGCACTCGCGACCTTCAGAGACGCTGGAGCTCGCTGAAGCAGATGTCCTTCGTAGCCAGCCCGCGGCCGGCCGCGCCTTTGCCGGCCGCTGGGCGGTGGTCTTCGCCGTGGCCGAGTCGGGCAGGCGAACGAAGACGGGGCGGGTCAACGATGCGGTGGATGTTGGGGCGCGCGGCCGTGAGTGGGCGCGCGACTTGGCGACGGCCCTGACAGATTCTGTTCTTCCCGACGAGCGTGTCTTTGATTTTGACCATGCTACTGACGAGAGAGAGGTCATAGGTTGAAACTCCAGGTTGTGGGGGGTCTACCTCGTTGGCCTCGTCACTCAGGGCCTTCGAACGATAGATTTCAGGATGAGTCCGACTTGGTGGCGATCCAAACTCGCGGGCCTTGGATCCGTTCCAAGAGCGCCACGAGAGATATGATAGATGAGAAACATGTTCAGCTCCTGAAGCAAGTAGACAAGCGCGCTCGAGCCACTCTTTGAAGCGCGAAGCGCGCCGAGGGAGTCCTCCCTGAAAAGGCAGTTGCGCTGAGTTGCGCTTGCTCCGTGAGCTCTCGGTCTCGCGACTAGTTCCGAGGAGTTTGGGGTCTTCGGATTGTGCAGGAAGAAAGCGAGTTCGGTCCAGCTAACTGTCTTCTATATGTTTGTGTGGCTCTGGTTTCTCAGATCATGTTCTGTTTCGCCTTGCCCTCGCGCTGTGGAGAGAAACGTGTGGTGCCTGGGGCCCCCCTCGTTGCGCGACTTGCCTTCCCGCGTCGGCTGCTGCGTTAAATGTTCTGGCTTGTGCGCGGTCTGAGGCCCTTGAGAATTGTAATCATATTGAGGTGGTTTCTCTCAGGCCTTGTGTAGCGTGCCGGTCATTATTCTCTTTGCCACTTTCTCTCATGTGCACTCTGTGTGCATGATGGCTCAAACTTGTGCCATCCACTTCCCCGCCACCACCCTGGGTCTGTAAAGAAGAAAGCCAGTTCGATCCAGCTAGCTGTCTCTAATTTGTCTGTGTTGCCTTGCCTGCTGAAATCACGTTCTGTTTCGCCTTGCCCTCGCACTGTGGAGAGACGCTTGGGGCTTGCGGCCCCCGCTTTGCACGCCTTCCTCCTCGCTTCGGCTGCTTCGCTGGGTATTCTGGTTGGTGCGCGGTCTAGGGCCCCTGGAGAAGCAAGATTTTAGGAGGTATTTGGAAGGTTTTCGGATTGCATTGGGCGATCCTGGTAAATTTTGCAAGGCTATGGGAAGGTTCTGGGAAGGTTGTTGGAAGTTTTTTGGAAGGTTTTGAAACGTATCAGGCGACTTCGCTAAATTTTGAATGGTTCTTTGGGGGTTGTGGAAGGTTCGTGGGAGGTTGTTGGGGGGCTGTTGGAAGGATTTAGGAAGGTTTCTGGAAGGTTCTCGGAACAACCTTAACGGAACCTTCCTCGCCCCCCTAGAGCACGAGGGAAAAAACAACAAGTTTCGAGCAACATTTCCCAAGAATAATCAAGGAGGGGGTCCGCGAACTGCCGCGCCGGGCTCTGAGAATGGGGCCTTCTTGGGGGCTTTTGGGGCCGTGCCGTGGCCCCGCTGGGGCGCCGTTGAGTTGCGGCCTGTTCGAGACTTTGGAGCCCCTCTGTGGTCATTTTGTGATTCGGGTTTGAATTCTCGACACTTCGCGTATCCCCGCCAGCTGGCATTTTGCTTTGGGCTGCACGTTGCTCGAGCTTCCCTGGGCGTTCCAGATCAGCCAGCCAGCCCCCGCCCTGCTGCCCCAGCTGCCGCCCTGTGAGCTGGCCCGGCCGGTTTGTGTCGCGCCCTGTAGCTAATGAGGCTTGCCCGTCGGCCTGGGCACCCTTTTCGCCGCCTGCGCTCTTCGCTTGCGGCCGCGACCAAAAAAGCACCCCCGCCAGTTTCGCCTATTGATCGGGCGGCTTTCGACTTGCTTCGCGAGCCCGCGGGCCAATTGTATCCCCGCCAGCCTCTTCTTTCTCTGAGTGGCCGCCCGCGCGCTCACTTTGCTTGCCCCTTGCCCTGCCGCCGAGTCGCGGCCCGGCTAGTGTTTGGACGGCTTTCGACCTGCTTCGCGAGCCCGCTGACCAAAAAGTATCCCCGCCAGCTCCTCCCGGCCCCCACTCCCTTCAGCGCCCCAGGCGCAGTGTCTCCGTGGAGGCCCGAGATGCTCCCGAAAGCGCGCCCCCGCCTGAAGACAGTCTCGCGGCGACAGTTCAGAGCTGCAGAGGGCGCTCCCGCGTGTGGAGACGGGCTTCGCAAAATGGGGGGCTCAGGAGTTCGTTTCGGCACGTGCGGTTGTTAGCCACAGCAGTGTGCAATGCGCCCCTGCCTCTCCGCCCCATCGCGACCAGTTTCGGTCGCAGCGCAGCGCCTGGCCCGCCCCCCGCCTTTGAGGATCAGGCTCTTGGCGCTGTCAATACCTGGCGCGATGCCCTTGCTGGGGCGAGGCGCGGCGTGCCGTCGCGCGGCGTTGCCGTTTGCTGTGGCTGTGTTCGCCCTGGCCCCCGCCGCGCCTGGCTGCAGCTCGTCGCGGCCCCTCTGCTGCAGGCCTCGTGGCGATCGGTGATGGCCCCGACGCTGCGCCTGGCTTTGCCGCCCCCGCGCGCACTCGGGGGCCGGGCTCCATGGCGCTGTCAATGCCGGGCGCGCTGGTCCCTGCTGGGGCGGGGCGCGGTGTGCCTCGCGGCCTCGGCCGTTGACTGTAGCTGTTTTCACCCTGGCCTTCGCTCGGTCCTGACCACAGCCTGGCTTGTGTTCCCGGGTGAACTGGCCTCCTTTTCGTGCTGTCTTCTGGCTCGCGCGCCTCGCCGCGGGCTTGCGGTGCCGCTCATCTGTCCCTTGCGCTTGGTGGTGCTCACTCTGGCCCCGCCTGAACCCGGTGAGGCGCCCCGGCGTTCAGGTGACGTGCGCGTTGACCAGCTTTGGCTGGAGTGCTTTCGCTTCCCTGGCCTTTGGTTTCCAGACGCCGCCGCAGCCTGGCCGTGTCTGCCGCCGCCCCCGGAATGGTGGGACACAGCCCTACTGGATTGCTCATGAGTGGTTCAGCCTTCTTGGCCAGCCATGTGCGTTCGTCCCTGTTGGCCTGCAGCCTAGCGTGTTGGACTGTTGGTGCAGCCCCGCGCTTCGCCGCGCTTGGTGGCGCGTCGATCTCTGGCGCCTGGTGCGACGAGGTTCAGTTAATCCTCTTCCCGGTGGTCCCGCTTCTGGGATGCCCGCGCGCTGGTTGCCTGGCATTCCTGGCAGCTTTCGCCGTCTGCCTTCAGCCCCCGGCGCCCCTCGGCCGAATTTGATTTCATCCGTTTTTTTTTCATCCGTTTAATTTCGTCAGTTCAATTTCATCCGTTTAGTGTCATATGGTTTAATTCCATCCTGTTTAAAGTCGCCCGGTTTTGAATTCATCTAGTTTTGATTCGTCCAGTTTAAATTCATCCGGTTTTAATTCGTCCGTTTTCAATTCATCCGGTTTTAATTTCTTATGTGGGCCACCGTGTGGCCCGCGTTGTCTATTTGATCCATTCAAACTTCGTCCCGCGTTTTAATTCGTCCGATTTAATTCACCCGGTTTGACATCATCCGGTTCTAATTCGTCTGGTTCAAGTTCATCCGGTTTTAATTCGTCCGGTTTATATTGATCCGGTCTTAATTCGTCAGTTTTGAATTTCATTTGGTTTTGAATTGTCCGGTTTATTTTCATTTGGTTTGGATTCGCCCGGTTTAAATTCGTCCATTTTTCAATTCGTCCGGTTTCAATTTATCCGTTTTTACGTAACAGTGAAGACTGATAGGATTCTAGTGGTCTCGAAAGAGAGCATCATGATTCCCCAGGGGGGTCTGGGCAGATGCTGGACGGGTGCCGCGGGATTCCGGGGACTCCCCAAAACCTTATCCCAGGCCACATTTTGACTGCCTGGAGCCAGCAGAACACCATTCCCAGGCCACATTTTGAATGCCCGGAGCCAACACTAGGCCACTTCGTGTTCTTCGTGCTCCCAGAACACCATTCCCAGGCCACATTTTGAATGCCCGAAGCCAACTGTAGGCCACTTTGTGCTTTTCGTTTTCCCAGAACGCCATTCCCAGGCCATATTTTGAATGCCCGGAGCCAACTGTAGGCTACTTCGTGTTCTTCGTGTTTCCAGAACACGATTCCCAGGCCACACTTTGAATGCCCGGAGCCACCTGTAGGCCACTTCGTGCTCTTCGTGTTCCCAGATTATCATTCCTGTACACTATTTTGATTGTCCGGAGCCAACTGTGGGCCACTTCGTGATCTTCGTGTTCCCAGAACACCAGTCCAGTGCTATATTCTGAAGGCCCGAGCTGGGGCAGGCTGAGGCCGAGGCAGGCTGAGGCCGAGGCAGGCTGAGGCCGAGGCAGGCTGAGGCTGAGGCTGAGGCACGCCGAGGCAGGCTGAGGCTGAGGCTGAGGCTGAGGCAGGCTGAGGCTGAGGCATGCTGAGGCTGAGGCTGATGCAGGCTGAGGCCGAGGCAGGCTGAGGCTGAGGCTGAGGCAGGCTGAGGCTGAGGCAGGCTGAGACTGAGGCTGAGGCAGGCTGAGGCTGAGGCTGAGGCTGATGCAGGCTGAGGCTGAGAGGCTGAGGCCGAGGCAGGCTGAGGCTGAGGCTGAAGCTGAGGCAGGCTGAGGCTGAGGCTGAGGCTGAGGCTGAGGCAAGCTGAGGCTGAGGCAGGCTGAGGCTGAGGCTGAGGCAGGCTGAGGCTGAGGCTGAGGCAGGCTGAGGCTGAGGCTGAGGCCGAGGCAGGCTGAGGCTGAGGCCGAGGCAAGCCGAGGCAGGCTGAGGCTGAGGCTGAGGCTGATGCTGAGGCAGGCTGAGGCTGAGACAGGCTGAGGCTGAGGCTGAGGCAGGCTGAGGCTGAGGCAGGCTGAAGCTGAGTCCGAGGCAGGCTCAGCGACTGCCACTGCGATTGCGAGAACAGCAGAATTCTACAACTGGATTCTCACCTGAATCTTAAGGGGAATGCTTCCAGGTATGCTTATACACATCGCTGTTAGGTTGCTTTGCCGGGATAATTTTATATGCCCGGTGTGAAATTCTCCCAGAGGGCGTCCCGTGTAGGAAACGGCGTGCGCGCCAGAACGCTTCAATTCTGAATTCGGAATCCGGCCGAAGTCGGAAACTATGGGGCTGGAGTCGGGAACGCGGGAGCTGGAGTCGGAATTATGGGCGCTGGTTTCTGAAAGTTGGCAGCCGGAAGCGGGAAACCGGGAGCCGGAGCCAGAGAGACGGTCGTCGGAGTCGGAAAATTGGGAGCTGAAATCATAGAGAGATGGGAGTTGGGGTCGGAAAGTTGGGTGTCGGAGTCGAGAAATTAGGAGACTGAGTCGGAGAATTCGGAACCGGAGCCGGAGAGATGGGAGCTGGATGGAATCGGTTGGGAGCCGGAGTCGGGGAGACGGGCGTCGGAGTCGAAAAATTGGGAGTTGGATTCGGAGATATGGGAGTTGGGGTCGGAAAGTTGAGTGTCGGAGTCGAGAAATGAGGAGACTGAGTCGGAGAGTTGGGAACCGGAGTCGCGGAGATGGGAGCTGGAATCGGTTGGGAGCCGGAGTCGGGGAGACGAGCGCCGGAGTCGGAAAGTTCGGGGTTGGAGTCAGAAAGTTGTGAGCGGAGGATGGCAAGATGGGACTTGAAAATAATAAGGGGGACCACGATAAGCGCAATTTTGAACGACGGGAGCACAGCGCCGATCCGAGGAGGAGGCCCACGCTTTAGCGGCAACGCCATGTTGAAACGCTGGAAACAATCGGATTGCACAACAAAACGTAAAACAACAACAGTTGTTGACATTTTCCGTGTAGAACACACTTGGCGGGTGGGAGATCTTCCGCAAAACTTCGGTGGAGTAAGGAGACTAGCACCCTTATTGTTTGCCTGTGGAGGGAGGAAAGGAAGGAGGAACAACCAGAAGAGGAGGAAAAGGAGGATGAGGGGGAGCACAGCGAGCACAAGGGCCAGAGGCCTCTTGGCTGCCTTTCGGCGTCTCTTCGGATTTTTTCTTCCGGTTTCGATTCGTCCGGTGTTCACTCGCCCGGGTCAAGTTCATTTTTGTTTTACTGCGCGCGTGCATCGCCTATACGTCGCGCGTGCGTCGGCGATGCGTCGGCGATTCGTTGCGATCTCCCGACCCCATCAGCTAGAACCCCATGTGGGATGACCAGAATTGACAACAACACTCATGTATTTCAGGAGGCTGAAGTGTCTGAACTGAAGAGCCCCGAGAACATCGGTTCAAGTGTGATATTAAAGCACCCCCGCACAACATGTATCCCCGGATCCATGGGAAGATTCTGGAAGTTGGAATAAACAGAAAACCTCTTCAAGTCCAGTCCTGAATTTAAACCGGTCGAATGAAAACTGATGAATTTAAACCGGGCAAATTAAGACCGGATGAATTCAAGTAGGTGCGCGTGACAAGCTCAAGGATTGCGCTGAAGGAGTGCGCTCAAGCACCACATCGAGGCTTTTTTCCGCAGTACCTGGTCCGCCCCAGGGCTCCGCCTGCCTCCTGCGGCCCGCAGGTGAGCAGTCTCCCCATCGCACTCGTGCACCCCTTCTGAGGACCATGGTTCGAGTGCTTCTCACCCAAATGGCCCATCTCGCACACACACGCGCGCTCTGGGCACGCCAGTGGGAGTTGGAAGGGAAAGTATTTTACGCAGACGCTTATTCAATCCCTTGAACGAGATTGACGGCGACGACGGCCCCGAGGTACACACACTTGCGACTCCTACCCCTACGACTCCACCGGAAGCGCTCCCACCAGCACGTGACGCCGTACAGCAGGAGCAACAAGGACAGCATCCACATTCACCTTCTTTGGACGAGATCGCCAAGATGTTCTGGAAGGAGGTGCAGCCACTTCGCAACGCCATCAGCAGCCTCGAGCGACGCCTTACTGACATGAGCGGGCTCATCGAAACCAGGTTCGATGAGGCGGAGGAGCACATCGAAGACATCTCCATTCGCCTGACCAACCTCGAGAACCACCAGAACGCCGAGTTCGAGGATACCACCGCTCGGGTTGCCGCTCATCGCGTGCTGATGTTGATTCTGCCGGAGCAGGCTCTGCACGCAGTTTGGGTTCCGCAGTTGAGGAGAAACTCATCGAGCTCGAGCGCCGGATGGCGGGACTCACTACGGGCAAGCATGTCGAATGCAATGCGTTAGTTGGGGGTCTTGGCAATTTCGATACTTTGCAACGCGCGGCCACATGGTTAAACGAACGTATTCTTCAGCTTGGAGCCCCTGAGCCGTCCGATATCTCCATCAAAGGCGAGTCGTTCCAGCAGACTGCTCTCGCAAAATTTGATTCAATGAGCGCCCGGGAGAAGTACGTAAGCATCTTGGAGAGGGCGCAGCTGAAGCACCAAGAGAACATGATCTGGACACGACCGGATCAATCAGTGGAAAAGAGGGTGCCTGAGAGTTTCTTGTTCGGACTCCGGAAAACTTTTTTGGGATCGGGTTATCCCTAGAGTGAGGTGCGCGTAGATCTGGTGGAACAGAAATTCAAAATGGCCAAAGAGTCAGTTTGTCTTGCACGTGTGGCCAGGACGGCTCTCCAAGTTGCTTGGGAAGGACCTTGGGCAGCCTGGGGCGACCTCGCCAACGGCCAGGAGGTGGCTGACTTGAAAGATCGCGCCAACGGGGTTCTCCAGAGAGCTGCTGCGAAAGGCGGGGGCAAAGGGAAGAAGGGGGGCCACTGGGAAATGCGACGGCGCATCGGGACCACAAGTGCGACTCGTGCTGGCCAGTGGGTAACACTCCCATGCGTGCCGGTGCGGTGTGGACGAGTTGCTTCATGGAACGTCGAAGGCATTAGCTTGGAGAGGCCACGCAAGTTGTACGAAATATTTTTAACACATGTCTGATTTATCCATTGGTGTGCTATGTCTTCAAGAGACACGCTGCCTGGGATCATCTACTTTTGGACAAACGAGCACAACTACGACGTCCGACGCGACTCCTTCACGGATCTGTTGAGGTTCTCACAGAAGTGCAAATCGCATGGGCCAGCGTTATTGTTTGGAAATTTCAACGCAAGGCTATCACAGCGCCATGCTGGAAAAGAAACCATCAGGACAGTATCTCTTCGACAATCCAACAGGAAGATGGGCACCGACATCAAATCGAGAGTTATTATTGGAAGTATGCAATGCCATGGGCGGCTGCGTCGCGAATGCGTTTTTCGACACAGGTGTAGAAACCGCAACAACTTATTACGATTTGGGCACCAAGCCAGCATAACCGATGCAACCAGGGCGCTTCGAACAGCTGGAGCACGTCATCATTGTGCGAAACTGGCTCAGTAATGTTACCTCTATCTGGAGCGACCGAAGTAGGGTGTTGCAATCACGCCGTGTCCTACATATTTATTGATCTTGATATCGACATACCGAGAACAGAACGCCCGCGCAAAACATTGCAACCTGATTTCACATAGCTCGAATACAAGGACATCGCAGACAAGTATTCCTGAGCTTTTGTCCATCACTGGGGAGTCGCACCTCTCTGTCCAGATCTTGGCACCAAAGCAGAATCCATGTCTACATGTATGTTGGAAGCCGCAAAAGAGATTTTACCAACCATTGCAGTGCAAAGGAGGCGGCCCTGGATCTCGACCAGAACTTTGCATATGATCGAGGAGCGGAACCAGAAACGGACACGCGGTGCAAACGCCGACGCGTTCAAGAGACTCAACAAACAAATCCAATTGTCAGCGCGTGCTGACAGAAAACGCTGGTTGGAAGAATCCATGGCACGTAGTGGATGGCATGCTGTTCGGGCTCTCCGGAAGGGCCAGCCGATGAAACGCGGGAGGGTCCAGGACAGCGACGGCAATCTTGTGGGCTCAGAGATGAGGGCCGAAACACTGGCAGATTATTTGGGAAGAGAACGATGGAAATTGTGGCACGATTCAGAACAACTTCCCAATTTAGTGGATGGCGGTGGGTTTTTACACATCGACGTTGGCAATATCACGCTGGAGGCAGTACAGCGGGCAGTCAAGGCCTTGATGGTGCAAAAAGCGGCCAGTGGCGACGGAGTTCCGCCAGACTTGTGGCGCGCACTCTGGAGAGACAGCGCAGTTTTGGAAATCTTGCGATCTCGATGCAACGATTGCTGGCAGCAGAAGGACATGCCAGAGTAATGGGGAGAAGCCTCAGTGGTATCTATCTTCAAGAAGGGCGACGCCTCCGAGCCGGGCAACTACAGGCCTATTTCTGTCGGCGGTAGGCTGCAAAATCTTGGCCAGCATCGTATTACATGGATTCAATAGTGGAGGGGCTGATGAACATCTGCGGGAATCGCAGTGCGGATTCCGAGCCGCGCGGTGCACCAGCGACGCGTTGTTCCTCTTGCGGAAATAAATCGACGCAGCCCTGGAAGACAATGATGGTGCATTATTATTGCTATTGCTGGATTGGAGCAAGGCGTTTGATCGCATCAAACCCGAAGGATTATTGTTCGCACTTCGGCATTTCAAGGTGCCGCCCGAGACGCTGAGCATGATTGGTGCCATCTACAGGGTGCGTAAGTTCATCGTCAGAGACGGGGCGACCACGTCGTCGCAGAAGATTCTCAACGAGCTGGTATTGCGCAGGAGTGCCCGCTGTCGCCCTATTTGTTTGTAATCGTAATGTCAGTGCTTCTCGTGGCAGTCGACAAAAAGGTAGCCGCGCAGCCGGTAGGCGCAAAGGGCGAGCCCTACGTGATCACCAAGGACGTGCTGTACGCTGCTGACACGCTGTCGGTCTCGCAGTGCCGGGGCTCTCTCTAAAGGCATTTCCACGTGGTATCACAGATAGGAAAATCATTTGGATAGGACCTCGACGCAGGCAATGCGACTTTATTGAGAATCAGATCCGACGACGCAGTGGTGGGGCCCAATGGGGGACCAATGCGAACAAAGGGCAGGGCATGTGTGTTCTCGAAATTGTTGTATGGGTTGGAATCTTGCGTGCTGCTGAAGGCCAACCATGACAGACTAGACGGTTTTCAAGCCAAGTGTATTCGCAAAATATGGAAAATCCAGCCGGCCTTCCTGTCCCGAATCAGCAATGCACGCGTGCGCTATCAAGCGCACGTCCGTCCATTATCATCTCTTCTCTTGGAACGACAACTGAAGTACTAGGGAAATTCGCCAGAGCTCCCCCGCAGTCGCTTCCGAGAGCGATGGTTTTCCAGCCATGCCAGAGTCTTTTGATGCCGCGAGACTGGCGTTCCCCGAAACATCGAGGGATGCCGCGTTTGCAATGGGCTGCGTGTATGCACGCCCGCGCGATGGGCGTTGCAGGAGACGACCCGGACCGCCTGCAAGTCTTGTTGCAATCCCCTCAAAATAATTGGGACGCAGCTGTCAATGAATACTGTAACTCTTTAGTGTGACGTTGTTGTGTTTCCCCCCCCCCTCTCCCCCCTCTCCCCGCCGTCCCTCCCTCCTGCTCGCCCCCTCCTGAACGCGAGCGTTGCTGATCACCCTCGCGCGCCACTTGCAAAAAGGCCGCCGGTGGTCGAGCTCCGAGGCACGGTGGCCGCTCCCAGACATGTGTATGTAGTTTTTTTTTTTTTTTTTTTTTTTTTTTTTTTGCCGATGCGTCGTCCAGGCGCGGCTCTTGAGTGAGTGAGTGCGCGTGACAAGCGTTTTAACCAATTTCGCTGCTCAAATATTGTTTTCATTTTCTTTGGTCAAGTGGTTGTTGCGATTTGTCAAATTTCCGAGTCCAGCTCCCGTCTTTCCGAGTCCAGCTCCCAATTTTCCGACTCCGACGCCCGTCTTTCCGATTCCGTCTCTCAGTTTCCCGCTTTCGGCTGCCAATTTTCAGAATCCAGCGCCTGTCATTCCGACTTGAGATCCCACGTTTCTGACTCCAGCTCCTTTTTTCCGACTTTGGCCGAAGTCCGAGTTCAGAATTGCGGCGCCCTGGCGCACCAGCCGTTCCCTACGCGGGACGTTCTCTGGGCGACATCGGCGCCGCTCCGCTCCGCTCCGGTCCGCTCTCCCCTGGTGCTCTTGTTCGTCCCGCTCTTTCCACCCCAGGTCCTGTTGCTGCTGCTTCTCGTCTCGCTTCAGCGCGGGCCATGTTTCTGAATCCGAGTTGTCTTCATCATTGTCGCTCCCCTCATTTCCCCTTCTTCGCCTTTGCCTGGTCCTCTGATTCCTCTCTATCCTTCCGTTTTTGTTCCTGCTGCTGCTGCTCGTCCTCATCCTTCTTTTCCCGGTCATCCTCCTCCTCACCCGCCACCTCCCCCTCGTGGGCATGCAGTTCCCGTTTTTCCGATTACGCACAACACAGATATTCCAGGAAAGGGCGCGGACCCAGGGTTCTCTTTTAGTATTGTTTTGTCCCCCCCTGGTTTCGACAGGCAAAAATATTTGCGAAATATACCGAGGTAAAGTGCCATTCGGCGTGGACAATTTGAGGGTGCCCCTAGCGAGACGATGGTTTTTGAAATTCCGATCGATAAATCACAGGGTGCGGGGCACATTTGGGTCAGGGGCACGAGTCCGGGTGTGTTTACGTATGTTTTTATATTTTGGCCCTCTCCAGGAGGCCCCAGGAGGTCCCAGGACACCCAGGGGGGTATCTAACATGGTTGTCCCGAGCTGGAACCACGTGTTTTTACTTGTCCAGGCCACCCAGTGGGGTATCTAACACGATTGCCCCGAACTGGAACTTTGAGTTTTTACGTGTCCAGGCCACCCAGGGATTTATCTAGCACGTCAAGGCCACAGGGGTGTATCTGACATGGTGTTCCCGAGCTGGTTGTTCCGTGCTGGAAACACGTGTTTTTACATGCCCAGGCCACCTAGGGGGATATCTAACATGGTTGCCCCGAGCTGGAACCCAGGAGGGTATTCAACATGGTTGTCCCGAGCGAGGACCACGTGTTTTAACGTGTCCAGGCCACCCAGTGGGGGATCTAACATGGTTGCCCAGAGCTGGATCCAGGTGTTTTTCCGTGTCCAGGCCAACCATGGGGGGTATCTAACATGGCGTCGGGCCCAACGCCGAATTATGAAGACACGCTTTGGGGGCCTATAAGCGCTACCCGAACAC